CCCCCCCCCCCCCGCCCCCCCCCGCAGGTCGGGCAAGAGCGAGAAGGGATCCTGGCCATGATCTCGGCCATCCAGGATGTCGTGCGGGGCCGAGCGGTGAGATGAGGGCTTCCGACGGCAGCTTCGCAGCTTCGAGTTCGGCCCAGGGAACCCCGAAACCTGCAGAGCAACGCCCTAAATGAGGCCTAAACCGAGAACATGTCCGCGAAAAGCTTCACTTGCCGAGGAATTCTTCAAGTCCTCGCTGCTGACAAAGCTCTTGAAGTCCGCTGAGCAGTACACGAACAAGCCGGAAAGCCCATTTTCTACCAAGCTTTCCCGGGCCTGCTGGTAACGAGAGCAGTGCATAATGCTCAGTGCCTGGGGGATACCATGGCGTGACTCAGAGCGAAGATTTCAGAAAGCGATTCAGTGAAAGCCTTGTAAGCTTGCAGAACTGGTCAAAGTATATAATCCGAAACAGGGTGCCCATGGGTAGTGCTATGAAGCTGAACTTGTGGTGCGTCGACAGGTACGCACCACACTCACAATTTCGTGTAGCGCAACCCTCAAATGTGCGAAGTGATGTTGCTGTCGGAATTTCTATAATCGTCTGGTCCTTGTTATCAGGACTACCCAGAGTTCTCACAACTTAGGCCCGTAAGTTTGAGGAACGAATCGGCCAATTACTGGAAGGGATTCAGAGAGAAATGGACACTCAGTCATGACGGATGGCGCTGGCTGGATGGTTGTGGTTGGAGATTAGAGCTGACTGAGCATTTGTGTGTTTCCCTCAGAAAGGATGTCGGCCATGTTTCGAGCCTGCTGTTATACATCGCATGCTATATACGATATGCTGCCAAACATATTTTTTGATGCTTAGTATTGCTATGAAAGTTGATTATCTGCTATTTGTAGCAAGGTGCAGCCAGTACAGCCCGTTGCTGTCGGATCAGACTTTCCCGTCGACAGCTCAGACAAAGCCGTCTGCAGGGAGTATCGGGAACCGCAACCAACCTACCGCAAGCCCTAAGCCCTAAGCCTTATCTCCCTTTGATTCAGAACCCTAAAGGGGTGCTCCGAGGCTTCCTGCCGAACGCAACTGACTGAAGGATGTCGATATTTGTGGGATAGAAGGCTGGTATCAAGCATTGACTATTCAGACATGATGCCTCTTTCAGTGCTATCATTCCTCTGCTTTGGGGTGCTCGAGGTAATATGCAAGAGTTTGTCCGTCAACTCTCGAGCCAATCGAACTATAAAGCTGATGCTGGCGAAGGTCGAGGCAGTGCCCACCAGATGCTGTGCGAAAGCCTGAGTAAAGAGCTTGTGTAGAGTCTTCTGCAAAGCATGACAGTCTGGAACATGGATGAGCAGGTATCTAGCTAATTCGATCGGAGCGGCTGAACGCAGGATGAACCGCTAAGGAACTGCAACAATGTCACACAGCTGGAGTGCTTGTGTACGGCAAGCGGCGCCGACCAGTTTACTTCCCAGCTGCCCAACCCGCCAGCGTTGCTGGAACGTCAGCATATTGACACCCTTTGCTGCCAGCCTCCGCCGCTGCCATGCTCGACTGCTTCGGCGGCGACTATCCCTCGGTTGAGTGTGTGGACGGTTCAGAGGATCGGGAAGAGCAGCTCAACATGTGCCGGCAACATGCTCGATCCATGCTTCTCTTGGACAGGATGCCACGTGCCTGGACTTGTCAACCGATATGAGGAGAGAAGGCGGAGAGGCAAGGCGAGAAGCCTCTTAAGCAACCCTGTTGCACCCTGGCTGTGACTTTCCTCGTCTTTGGAGTTCCATTCGTGTACTCGTGTACGTACCCAGTCCTCGCCTTTCTTCATGCATCGCTCGCCACTCTTAAGCCTTAAGCCGAATTCCTGGCACTGCGTCAGCGTGGCTTACCATCACCCGTCGGCAGATTGACGATTTCGACCTCATGGCTGGCAACTATCTCTTCTACGTCCAAGAGTCCCTGAAGGAGGAGCCGATGGGCCTTGGCCTCCTCTCAGTGCATCCAGTGGTTGGCTCAGCTGGCACTTGGGGGATGACTTGAAGTGTTGAGGTGCTGAGGCCTGGTGCTGGCTGTCGCAGGTAGTACGGGTGAATTTGGACTGGTGGTTACCTAAAGAGGGCTAGTTGCTCTAAGGGCTAAATGACGCGCAGGAAAAAACCCAGATTCAACATAATGAAAGCACGTGTAGTTTAATTCTGGTTCTTTTGTTCTCTTTCTTCGCTCACTTCCAACTATAAGATCAAGGGTGACGTGGAAAGGAGACAGGCGGTTGGCTTCCAAGCTTAATGGTGTAACAAATGGTGGTTCATTTTCCCTTTTTGTTTTCCTTCAATTAAATTGCAATGGAACAACGAGGAAGCGTGAATTCAATTAAAGAAAACGCAGCACAAGGAAAATTCACCACACTGCGTTTCGCTTTCCCTGTTGTTAACTTATCCTTGTTTCATTTGCGTTCTTTCGCGTTACCATTGAAGCTACTATAAAGTACTAAACAGGTCACTGTAAGTAAGGTCACTATTAAATCAATAAATGCTATTGTTTTTGCGCTGCCGCAGGAGATGCAGGCTCGGTATGCAGAGGGGGAGAGCACGATGACGCGCTGCCCCTTCGGCGAGGGCCTCGGTTTTCATCATAAATCGCCAACTGCACAGGCAACGCCTATGTGTGTTTCGGTGCCCTGAGCTGATATGGCTTATGGCTTAGAATTGGACTTTGGGCCTGGCTTTTAAACCTACTTTACCTGCGCAGGCAGCCCGCAGGAACAGCAGAAAGGTTTCCAGGAAGCCCAGCCCCCACTCCATGGAGTCGAGGCCATAGTGCTACGACGCAGGTACCATGACACCCAGCGATGGAGAAGTTGACCTGCGGCAGTGCGAGAAGAGAAGCTCGCCCACGGCTACCTGGAGCGATAGAAAGTTCCAGGAAGCTAAGGGAGGTGTTCAGTATTCGGAAGATTTCCACTGCGGTCTTAGATGCTGTCTACGACAGTAACTGGCACTCGTTTTCGCTCTCAGGTCGAGTTACTAGTCATCCCGTGAATCAGGCGGTGAAGTTGACATTTGCCGGGGCATGAAACGGACGTCCGTGTTACCCTTGGAACGCACCTCTCAATGTCTTACTAGACTTCGCTGGCCGATGGCTTGGGCGGTAGGGGTTTCTTCAGGCGATCCTACAAGCGGACACCCCAAACCTTAGAGCTGGCAAACGGCCACAGCCAAATTGGCGTTCAACCTAACTTAACGGGCAGGTGGAAAAGAGGTGTCAAAAAACCTAAGCCCTACACCCCGCACCGATTGCCCTGCTACACAACCGGCGAGGGACAACTGTGCTTGGAGTGAGCTGTCTGACTCTTTCACTGCGGTTGGGTGATCCTTTTCAAGCGGTCTTTGTGCCGTTTCTGGTGTCCTTGGGAGTTCGCAACGTGCTTCCTGGATTGCTGGTTCGACCTCGTAGTTCTTTGAAAGGGAGGGCCTTAGAGAATATCCGTCTTATGATTGCTTCTAACTCTTCTGAGGGCATTATGAGAACACAGTTCTCGGTGAATGTCAATCCTGTAGTCTCTGACGTGCAATTATTTCATCCAGGGTCAGTGTGGGCGTGCAGGTGAGTTCACCGGCAAGCTCAACAGAGCTGACTTAATTCGTAATTTTTATTCGTAGTGGACCCACAAGTCATGGTGCTTCTGGATCGTCCGAGTGGCATCTTGCATAAACCCCAAGCCCCAAACCCTAAACCCTGCACCCCAAACCCGGACCCCAAACCCCAAATCCTACACCCTAAACCCTACAGCCCAAACCCTAAACCCGAAGTCTCATCTCCGCCGCGCCGTGACCAAAGCTCCTCAGGTTTCCTACCTACTGGAGAGCTTGGACATGATCGTGCAGAGGATCAACCCGGCCCTGACCTCAAGATGTTTTTTTTTGTTAGGGTGTCTGTAGGGTTTATATAGGGTTTCGGGGTTTATATAGGTTTTTTGGGGGGTTTAGGGGTTACATGGTGTTTATATAGGATTTATACAGGGTTTCTACAGGGTTTAAGGTAAAGGGTTTGGGGTTTAAAACTTCCGCACTGCCTGTGCTTACCGTTTGCGCTATGCTGGTGCGTGATCCGACTCTGTCTCCCAATGAAAAACGGAGCTGGGGGTTTCAGAAAACTAAGGTGTTATTTTGGGAGTCATCATTTTTGGGATTCTTATACTGTAACCTAGGATTCCACAGTACGGTCCCCCATTGTCGCCAGCTCCCAGAGAGCCTGTGCGGCTTCAGCCGAGGTGGACACAGCAGCTTCGCCCAAGAAGTGGGCCACGATCCTGAGCTCCGCCGTCATCTGACATTTTCGAGACCACACAAGTTGTTAGGACGCCTCGAAAGCCGCAGGCAACCACTCAAATGTTTCTTCTGCCCGAGAAGCCGTGAGGTCAAATCAGCAGGCGATCCGGAAATCAACGAAGGGTGCCAGCCTTGGCCGCGGGAGGCATCAGGCAAGAGGCAGGATCCCCAAACCCTGTTGTAATCAGGCCCTCGGGTTGGCCATGCTCATGTGCATTGGAGATGGCACGAATCAGGGTGCTGCACGTTAATCAGTTAATCTGCTTGCTCTGGCTCAGGGAGCATAGAAGCACCGGATCCGTCGTCTCAGGGGTTGAGTGCAGCATGAAGTGCTGCACAGGCCAAACCAGTGGAGCTCCTTGTAGCAGGGGGCTCCATCCTCCCAAGGTATGTGCTTTGGGCTGAAGGCTGCAGGGTCATTGGATGGCATCTAGGCAGACCAGAGCTTGCAACCGAATTCTTCAAAGCCCTGCTCATGCACCCTGGAGATCCGAATCAAACCCTAAAGCTAGAAATCGGAGTTGCAGAAAGTAGCGGATGGTGACATAGGCCCTAGATAGTTGAATCTTGATTCTCAGAGCCCCTAAAATGCAGCATGGGGAAGCTTTTCCTTTCGAAGCCTCAAACCCAGGGAGTTCCGGCCCGTCTACGGAGCCACTGCCGGAAGTGTGACCCTGGTCACCTTCGACGTGCGGCACTTGCCCCAAGAGGAGCACGAGCCGCGGAGGGGAGGGGAGGGGAGGGGAAG